TCTCTCTCTCTCTCTCTCTCTCTCTCTCTCTCTCTCTCTCTCTCTCTTGTGTGCTGTTGTCATTAAAAAAGTGACGCGCTGCATTGAAATGAACATAAACAACCTATATTTGAAATAACCGCATCTGAACGAAATTCGTTGTTCATACTTCCACCTTCGATGGAACAAGGTTGTGTTACAACACCTTAAAAGCATCACTTTCCATGCGAAAAACAACACAGAGCAATAGAAATCTCACGCGACCATTCAATTTTGAAACCTACCGCAACATTATGGAGCAAATGAGAAAGACAATGGAAGATTTCAATTGTTTTTTTCTCCTTGCTCTTGTATTGATACTCAATGACAGAACAGAAACTCAGGTAAAACAATCGAGTGAGAGCAGTGCAGAAAAAACTTCTATTGATCGTTGTTGACACAGAAAAAAACGGTTTAAAACAACACCAGCACCTAATCCGTTTCACTGAAATCAGCTATAACGATGTGTCCACGTACACTCCAATTCATTGAAAAACAAACACGTATTCGAAATGTTTTAGTTTTTCCGGTTGGTTGCCAGTCAATCTACACGTAAGATGATTGTTTCCATACATTTCGTTATGGCTATTTTTGTTCTCTTCATAAAGATGTTTTACAAAAAAAAAAACATCAAACTTTTCTGATGGTCAATTCAAATATGACAACGTGAACTTGTCCATGAACATATAAGTAAAATCATATTTTCTTTTTCGTTCGAATGGTGATGATCCACTAAATAACCACGACTTAATGAAAATTGGATGAAATCTCATTTTATTTATGTTGAATTGAATAAGTATCATGCATTGTAAATAATTGCCACTTTCATTTATGTTGCACGAAGAAGCAATACACGATTTCAATTGAATTTTCACGGATCTGTACCTCTAGGAATGTTGAGAAGAAAAATGCGGAGAAAGCGAGGGGGAAACCACGGATTCTAAAATGTGCTAATTTTTTCTAATATTTCTAGTAAAACGCCCAAAAACGCCATATGACATGTACATTTGACATCATTCTAATATGTTCTAGTTTTTCTAGTATCGAGTTCGTGGGTACCCCAAGGGAGAAAGAGGGCGAATTTTTTTTCTTCAAACATACTTTTTTCTTTTAAATTGAGGATCCTTCTTCCTCCACAATGCTCTCTCCTACTTATTTTCCTCCTCCCCAGAGAAACAGTCTTTGGAATTTTCTAGAACAATGATCGGAATGTCAAAATACCACCATGTCTCGTTTGAAAGCTTGATTTAAAATTACCCCTATTCGAAATCAAGATCGGTTTGGAAATTCTATTCAATCTAAACACTGTTATATTGCTGAAACCGCATAAAGAACGAAGAAACAAAAATGTCAACAAAAGAAAAAAGCAATTGCCGTAAAAACTTGTTTTCTTCTTCAATTTCACCCAGTTTTTGCACTGGAAAAACCAAATTGTCTGGTCGTTAAAAAAAACGTTGTCTAAGTTTCGCAGATGCTTTTGCTCAGTCATTTTGACGTTATTTTTCAAAGAAAAAGTTCAAAAAAAAAAACCACTTAAACTGTTTGAGCTAATAACTGTAAAATCTTTTATCATATAAAAATCACTTTATAATATTGTTTAAGCTTTGCATTTACCATAATGGAAATACTTTGTTGTATACAGTATTTTACGCTTGTCTATTGTAGTCTACAATGTAGACTCTACATGTGGCAGCAATATTAAATGTTGGGTGGAAGAAATGGTCGGTGATTTTATCCAGAAGAGATATATCTATTTATTCTCGCTATTTCACTGAACATCAAACTCAATCGATATTCGTTTATCGATTGCAATTCATTCCAAGCAACTCTTCAAAAACACTCTCACAAGAAATTGCTGCTATATTACTTCGGATGCTCAGTTTTTTTCTCTTCATCGAATCAAACAATTTAAAGAATGTTTTTTTGGTAAAGTTCATGAAAAAGCACATAAAAATGGGTGCATCGTTTCTTATTGTTCGATATGTTTTTCATCGAGTAAGAGTGTGTTTATTTGTGAAATCAGTTCGAAAAGGTTCCGAGTCGATTTCTTAAAATTGCAGTTATTCCGGTTGTTTTTGTTTTCGTCGTCATTTTGTCGCATATAAAAAGAATGAGCACTTACAATACGCCCCATGGGGAAATATGAAAATTTTTGTCTAACCATAATCTTAATGATAAGAACGAATTCCGAATAAATATTTGAAACCAAAACTAAATACATAGTATTACCCATTCGTGATGTGTTTTTTTTTTGTTTGTCTCTTTTCAGATGAGGACGGGTTATGTTGAAGTACAATGAGAATCGCGTTCAAAACATTCAATGTGAATATCATGTGGAAAATGTCTGCAACTTAAATGTGAAACGCACATCGATCCAAGATCTTTAGACTATAAATTTGGTTTTAAAACGAAACAATTTCGTTTTGCCACAACAATCTAAGTAAGAAGAACTCAACGTGAATGCAACGGAAGCATTTGGTAGTAAATTGATACGATAAAGTAGAAGACAAAAATCAGCAAAAACGAAACAAAGAAGAAAAAGAAAGGAAAAAACATCGTTTATTTACAAAACACTCTTGGTTTTTTTTTCGTTCTGTGTAGAGAAATTCTGAAAATAAACAAGTGGAATTGCTTCTTTATTTTGTTGGATCGAGTAAATAATTGAGAGAGCTTTAAGTTAATTTTCAACATCGATGGCACAGAGTCAATTTCCCATTTTCAAAATGAGCAAATTTCCATTTTTGAAGTTTTAAAAGTTTAATTATGTACAGAGAAAATAAGTGGTGTACAAGTACAAATCGATAAAAATTGTGTGACAAAACGAAACATTTGATAATTTTTCTGTTGTTGTTCAATCGGTAAAATCAAAAAACAAATAAAGAAGTGAAAATCGAACACTTAGTGTGAAAACTCAATGAAAATAAAGCAGAAATATACATACATTTACATGCTGAATTATTTTGCAAACAAAGAAAAATCAAAACAGCTAAGACTAAGAAGCCAAAGTACTTAAATCAATTGACGATCGTGAGAACACGAAATATAGAAAAATCAACTTTATTTACAATATCAGAGAGTCAATATATAGGCCATTCACGTGTATCCGGTCGAGCAATCAACATAAACAACATCTCAAACACGTAAACCATTACACACACTTTACGTGTGCAATTGCATGTGTGAGAGTCAAGATTATTGTGACCCGAACATCGTAAAAACCAAAGAATAACACGATAACAATCAGTATTTTGTGGAAAGTGCAAACGGCTAGAATCAAAACAAAAATGGGTCTGCCAACGATATTGCCGAGCAATGGAAGTTTTCTACCATCACCAACTCAACATATTAGCGAATGCTCTGAAGACGAATCGGATTGCGAAGGATACAAACCATATCCGGAACGTCCTGAAACCTATATTGTTCCATTTATTTTCAGCATTATTTTTGTGGTGGGCGTCGTGGGCAATGGCACGCTAATTGTAATTTTTTTACGACACCGAGCAATGCGAAACATACCAAACACGTAAGTAAAATGCGCTTATTTTTTATAGTATTTATCGACACAAAACTACAGCTCATTTGCGAGACTTCAATGAGTCTCTCAGGTGTAATAAGATTTTGATCCGCTGCCAAATCTACTTGACCCACCGTCATTTTTACGAAGTCATGTTCATGGAAAAACTCATTTCCAAATAGAATTTTCGCTTCACTTCGGCTATAAAGCTGATGTTTTTTGAATGCGCTTTTTTTTCTTTACATATCAAGTTTTTCGGTTGTTTGGTTGGGCTTTGCTTTTTTGCCATCTTTGTTTTTGTTTCCACGTATTTTTTTTTTTTTGTTTTAGATTTTTAATTTCGTTTTTGTTCGATATCTTTTTTTCTCACGTTGGTTGCATGGCGTTCGACATTTTTAATTTTCATTTTATTGCTTCGCTTTTTCATGCGTCGCTAATGAATGGAATACATTTTTTTGTGTGTCTCTGAATGGAATATAAAAACGTGTATCTGAAACATTCCATTTGAATATGTCGTTTGACATTTTAATTTAACAGAATGTCATTGAGTATTCTAATAAGCAAAATGTTTCGAATGCTATACGTATCAATGCCAAAATAGAATACATTGAGTGGTAAATAGAGTTTTTGCGGTGCAAAATACGATTGTACATATTTTTTTTCTTCGATTTTGCATTTTTCTCATTTGAATGCAGAAAAAAGTAAACAGTAAAAACTGGTGTCATCGCTATGACTGGTATGCATGAATGTTATTGAACGTTATTTTGTATAGAGTATAAGCGAATCTCTGCAAATCAGCAACTAGAGAGAATATTGTGAATGTGTGATGGATATGTGTGTAAAAAATGCGATTTAGCTGCCAGGTCATCAAAATAAGAGAATAAAAAACAATTGAAAACATTAATTTATTTAATGCTTATGGCATTTATTTCAATCAAACGAAGTGTAAATGTCACCAATACGGTTTTTTCATTAAGTATGTTCACATATTGTGTTCGTCATTTTGGGTGTAATGAGAATATTGCTGGTTATATGTAAGTGATGCGGTCACATATATGCGTTTTAACTAGAAGCAAACGTCTTCGGGTCATAAAGTAAAAGTTTGCATCATTTCAAAAAGCTTTTGAACTAAATATTACGATATAATCCTTATCCAAAAAAAAAATACATACCCAACGAAATAAAAACCACTTAGTTAAAGCATATGCACGTATACCATAAATACATGCCATTGCTCAATGAAATGTCTGCATCAGACTCAAATAATTTATATATATTTGCGACATATATTATTTATGAGAATATAAACGTAGGATCCATAATATTATATGACATTTTCATACCGGAATATTTGGTATTTCTTAACGTCCAATCTTTGGTGGTTTTATTTTGGCTTCTTGTGAAAACAAAAATCTAACTTTCTCACAGAAATAGAGAGAGAAAGAGAGAGAGAGCGAAGAAACAGAATTCAGCAGCAACACTGAACGTGGAAGTAAATTAAAATCAATCATGAATGAACAGTAAGAGCTGCATGGATCATGAAAAAAATATTAAATCAACTGAAATGTAAACATGTTAAAACGATTTTTACGCTACATTCTAGATTTTGTATTGTGGCTATGAATAAAATGAGAACAAAAAGAATATGAATGAAAGCGATTTGGTGTGGCTTTTGTTTATCTGTAGAACAGATTCTGTACGCAAGATTTTCTTTCTGTAAATAACAAAGATGAAAAAAATGTTTTGTTTTCGTACATCAGTGGTGCGGCATACATGAAATGAACATTCATCATAAAATTCCAAATAAATCAGAGAGCGTATTATAATAATATAGCCTAAGAGTATGCACTATTCAACTTATTTTGTGCACTTTTGTCAAAATGATGCCAAAAAATTTCAATACGCCTTTAATGCATTTACCTATATTAGGAAAAAAGCATATTTTGACAGCTACATCGCGTTGTTGCCAAAAAAGGACTAAGAGGTCCAACAGGCAACAGAATAAAACACAAGATCAATATAATATTATCTACGGGAATGTATTTTTAAAGAGCTCCAATTTAAAAGCTAACGAACTGCAACGCATAAGCGATTGAATTATTAGTTCATTTATTACTTCTCATTCACCAAAGTCATATAAAAAGTGCTAAGTCAAGCAGGAATACTGATATCATTTTAAAAAAAATTACAATCTGTTGTGATATGATGATTTAAAGAGAATACATACATTTTCAGAAGTAATGTTTTCTAAAGTGCTACTCTCATGTGGAATTGTGCATACAGGTGTTTTATCAACTGTTTATATTCATTATTTAAAAAAAAAACATTGGTAAACAATATGAGTCACTTGGCACCTGAGCCATTCAGAGATTGAAAATCGCTTAATTTATTTTATTTTACAAATCCCACATACAACAAAAAAAAACGGTCTGAAAACTTGCCATTTCAATTTTTTACAATACAAATTTTCATATGCCGCATACAAAAAATATGTAACATTGTGATAAAAATGAAAATAATTCAATTCTAAAATAACAATACGCATTTTTTCATGTGATTTTTTTTTTTGGCTTTATTCAAGTTGATGTACACGAGTGCGAAATAATACATAAATATAAAAAATGGTACATAATCCAAGCGCTCATTCCAGTTTTTTTTTTGGCTTCATTCAAAGCAAGTTCATATAGTACGTTTATTTTATTATTTATAGTTAATATACACTTTATTCGTAACTGTCAACTACATAAAAACCATAATAATAAAGATTTCATATTTTATTATCGTACTCAGGGGGAAATGGGGAAACAATTTTTTTAGCACCACATAAAATGTAGAGCTATTGGATTTATCTATTGAATTTTGATGTATCTCGGGTCGAGATTCTCAGCTGACATCCATTTTGGACCAGTAAAACATTGTCTTCCTGGGAATTAGGTTAAAATCGGATTCCGCTTTCATTTTAATGAACTAAAGTGCCCTTCAAACCACATCAATCAATCAATCTTTCATTTTGAATTTGGTTATCCTATCTATTTTCGTCTCTGGTCAGTTTGCATTCTTAGAAATAGAAAATGTGCTTAAAAGTAGAGATTTTTGTGAGAGGATAAACAAGAAGCGAAAATCAATTTGAAAACTTTCAATCAAATCTATTGTACTTGTGAATCTGTAAAACGTCTATAATATTGTTTTCACTGTTTTTGCCCAAAAATACTGAATGTAGGAAATGAACACTGAAGAGAAAGTAAATAAGAAGTAAATAAGATAGTCAACGGAACTAGTTTAGAATAAAATGAAAAAATTATCATTGAGAAATGATTTAAATGCTATTCAACGAAATCTCTTTCAGTTAATGGAATGAATTAATGTTTACTTACTTAATTTTATGTGTGCGCATGTTTATTTATCGCTTCCTAACCACTATTTGCCTTTGGTGAAAACACAAAAATCTCTTCTTCGGTGACCGTTGTTCGAATGGTTTGCGTAATGCCAGCCAAACCGCATAATTAATCATTTTCTACCAAATTTTGAGCCGTTGTATATTTAGAGCATGAACATTTGTTAAGTAATAATAACCCACATTCGAGACGGAAAATAAAAATAAACAATTAATACCAATTTAATTATTTCTTTTAATATTTTAAAAAAATGACCCAATTCCATTTGCCTGAATGACCTAATTTTAATCCAGACTTTTGAAACGATGTCAATATCCAAGGTAAATTTTCGACCATTTCACAAATGTTATCAATTTGTGGAGGGGATTTGACTGAGCAACATTTGAGCAAAATATTTTGCCAGAAATGAAAAACAGAAACGTGTTAAATAGAGAACAAAAGGCAGCCATGCGTCGTTTCGTTGAATTTCTGTATTCTAGACAAATTTCTTTATGGTGTTGTTATTGTCGCATTCTCATCGCAATTGTTTACTCGTATCAAATAGAGCACATTTTCGGTGAAAAAAAAGAGAGAACACGTCGACGAAATGCGTGATAAAAGTGATGGTATAATCCATTGTCTAATATGAATGGCATTTGGTTTGCTGCACTTTTGGTCCTCTTTTTCTATACCGCGATGTGGTTTATCTTTTTTTGCACATTCGTTTTCAAAATAGTGTTCATTTTACTCTGACAAATGCCCTCATTGTCATTCACTTGAAAGATGATGTAGGTTTTATGAATAGACGAAAACACACGAATTAAGGAACAAACAAAAAATAATGGCCAGCAGTCTGCGGTACGCATGGTGGACTTTAATTAATCGTAATGGAGTAGCTTGTTTGCGTTTCATGTGGGAAAATGCATGTGAATATAATATTCACTATGCTTTAATTTTAACAAATGAATATACCTCGAAGTGTAGTAGTATTTGGCCGCAAAAACAATGATCGAAAAAACACGCCCGGCTTATGTTGCCTTTTCTATCGTACTCTCTCTCTCTCTCTTTCTCTGTTGTGTGTGTGTGTGTGCAACGGTAAATTCAGGGTAGTGCGCGTGAGTGCTATCCAAATTAACGACTCAATGACCAAAGCTGGTTTGATTCAATTATATTTTCTTTTGCCTAATTAACAGATGATTTAGTTCCAGAGTTTTTATTTTTCAATTTTTGCTTTTATTGCAAGAGATAGTTTAGGAAACATGAAACCACACACAGTTCAATCAAGAAGGAGTTAAAATCAATGGAAATATTGATGATGTATGCTTGCGTTTTAGTGTGTTGCATGTATATCGTAGAAAATGTCTTCTGGCGTTTTTCTCATTTCGAAATATGTTTCGTTTGAAATTGTTTTTTATTGTTTGTTTGTTGAATCATTTCATTCACGCGAGCACAATCTGCTTTTCGTACATACATGAGAGCATGGCGGTTTAAATGGATCAAAGAACGTGTGTACTAGGTTGCCTCGAGCAAGTTTTGTTGAAGACATTTGATATTTGGTTTCACATAAGAGAATTTGGAACTAAGGTGCCAAATGAGATCACAACCAGCCCTGAAACCACATTCCTATCAATTTGTATATACGAGTGAATATCATAATTTCATTGAACGCGTTGTTTTATCTCGATTTATGAAGAAGAAGAAAAAGTGCACAGGTATTCAGTTTTGTATGTTAAGAGATTGTTAATGGAAAATCGACTGAAAGCATGATCATATTTGTTTATTTACTTTTTCATGATGTTGAATAACGAAAAAAGGCTATTAGAAAATACAAATCTCTCACTTCATCTGTATTATATTTTTTTTATTCTCATGGAAAATCATTTTTAGCCGACAAGATACGTCTGATCTACGCAAAGTACAATAAAAGAATGAAAATGTGCGTGCATGTGATGGAATGTCGATGATAAGCAGATCTTAAGCGATTTCAATCGTTATTTCTGCATATGCTTCTCGTTTTTTTTTGTGTTCACACGTGAGTGTGGTTTTCAAACAAAAAAGTAAAAAAAATCGAATCGAGTTAGAGAAATGTGGTTTATTCACAGTAGTGATAAGAAATGAGCAATATATTCACGCAATCACCCAATTGAGCCGGTCGGCTTCTGAATCAATTTTCTCAATCAAATGAGGAATTTAATGCTAACCCTGTTGATTGTTTGCACGCTCCGAAAACCGAAACACACACACGCACGCATATCGCATGTGTGAAGACCATTTTAACGCTTTTAACGCAAAACCTTTTATTATACCAAATGTTCTACCGCATTTACAAAAAAAGAAAAAAGAGAACAACCAAGAAACCATTACTCAAATGGGCAAAATATAAAACGCACCACCGAATATTTTATTTTATTTTTTGTTCCTCGTTCGTTAAGTCCTTTTTGGATAGTAAGAAAATCGTTGTGTGCTGTGTGGCTTTTATCCATCTGGAATATCCCGTATCGAATTGATGATGTGTGAAAACATTCACAAAGAGAATGATGAACAAAAAAACAAATACTAAACGAACAAAGGTCTGGATAATTTCTCTGGAATAAACCGCAAATTAAACAACATATACATATCAAGCTTATGTTGAGAATTGAATGCTGGCAACAAATCTCTCGCTTTCTATTTTTTTTAACAATTCCCATTAAGCGTAACCATTTTGACCGTTTAATTACCATTTTTTTGCATAACAAACATATTTATTAAGTTCATGCCACTGTGCCAGTGTGGTTTAAAATATATGCTTCCATGTTTTGTACTTTGAATTAATCAACTGACTTATTTGATGATACATTTTCTTGACCACTTTTCAAGCAATTGAATTTAAACTCATGCAAATGTTGTATATTTTATAGAACAAATTTGTTTTCTAACCAATCGCTAGATATATGACGGTATGTGGTTCAATATCATTCAATGTGTTATTATTATACGTTCATATGAGCTAGTCAATTTAAAAGTTTCAATTCATCTCCTTTTTTTATACACGATAAAGTTACGTCATAAAAAATCATTGATTTAATTTCGTAAAAAAAGTCTGATAAAATATCGGTTTTACCAACCAAAATCGGATTTATCTATTTTATGTAAAACAACAATGACCAATGTTCCTCGGAAATTTAAAAGCGTGTGCATGTGTCTGTTGTATGTAAAAAAGGAGAATATTTTATTTTTTGGTCGACCATGGATCAAAACAGGTGCATGAATTTAACAATGTTTAAACATTGAAAATTCAATATATAATTGACAAACGCCAATTCAATTTATGTGCATAAAATTATTCGCATCATTAATTTTTAACGGTAATGGGATTTGTGAAAACCTGTTGAAAAACAAATAAATAAACAATATGGTTATGTGAGCGTGTGTAAAATGTAAATGATTGCAAAATGGTATGTGAGTCGATAAAAATTGTATATATATATGGTGTAAGCTCGATTGGCAAGTATTCACAAAAGAATAAATCCATGCGTCATATAGCAGGATGCTTATTTCCATTCGAAGTGTCTTCAACAGTTTCGCTATTGTGCCATTTTATATAAACCCGAACCGAACGTCCGTGACTCGAAAAATTTCCGGGACCGGGCAGGATTCAAGCCATACACTTGGGATCTTTGAACAGATATTTTGGGCGTTCATGGGCACATGAGTAGCCCGAAATCGAGTGTTTTTATACTAAATATACGTATTTTTATGCGGCGCATATATATCTATCTATTTTGGATTTTTTTTTTGGGCGATAATCTGTTTTCAAGCAATGAATTTATTTGCCATATAAAATGTACACACACATACACACGTGTGCTTGAATTGGACATGAACGATTATACTGAATGTGGCATCCCAACAACATAATTTACATCTAATTACTTCGAATATAATCTTCGTTTCAATTTCATTTGTTATTCAAGTTTAATAAAGTTTCCTATAATTTTTTGTTTCTCTCTTCTAATTTAGGTATATTTTTTCGTTAGCATTGGCTGATCTGTTGGTCATCATAATATGTGTACCGTTAGCATCACTGATTTATACGCTTGACTCGTGGCCATGGGGTTCAGCATTGTGTCGCATCACAGAATGTGCAAAGGATATTTCAATTGGTGTGTCTGTATTCACATTGACCGCACTTTCAGCGGATCGATACTGTGCCATTGTAAATCCATTGCGGAAGCTGCAGGTATACCAAACTCCACACACATTTATTACACTAAACTAAACGAATATAAAGTACATTTGGTAAAAGTGTATTCGAACGAAAAAGATCATGTGAATGCTAGTGGTCAGTGACTGTTAGTAGCATGAGTTAGTCTATTTCGATGCAAAATTTGAATTAATTGCCGTCATTTTCAATGCCATTTTTTCCAAATGGAAACGTTCGCACATATATATCTACCGATGGTACAATTGAAGGCAAAGTAACTTCTATTGTAAGCTTATCTGTACATATGGCATGTGTGGGCAGCATAGAATTAGATTTATTGGTTATCTCTAATTGAATGGGTAAGAATAATCATGAGCTCCAAACATTCTTTAAAAAAATACTGATACAAGACGATGAATTAAAATAAATGAGATACTAACTCGCGTTTAAAATAAATCTGATACTTGAAAGATATTGAAAATAAAAGTGGTATGTATCACTTTTATTTTCAATTCGTTCAAGTATCAAATTTATTTTCAATTCTGGCTAGTATCTCATTTATTTTAACACATTTGTGCATTATACCGAGTCTCCGAGAGTTTCATATAAGCCTTCCCATGTAGATGGTAAAAAATCGTGAAAAATGAAAAAAAATAATTAAATTTTTTTTCTTCGATTTACAAATACTATTCAATTTTCTGTACCATCTGGTGAAATCAGAATGAAAAAAATCGCATTCCCTATCACCCAAATCACGATTGGCATTCGGTCACTATTCAATAGGTGTTACATAGGAAGTTTATATGAAACTCTCGGAGACTCGGTATAGAGCACCCAAACAGTGAAAAAAGTCCAGATCGTGATTTATATGATATGGGATGCGATTTTTTTCATTCTGATTTCACCAGGTGATACAGAAAATTGAGTAGTATTTGTAAATCGAAGAAAAAAAATTTAATTATTTTTTTCATTTTTCGCGATTTTTTCACCATCTACATGGGAGGCTTGTATGAAAAACACGGAAGACCGCTGAAATGGCACTGTCACACGTCCGTGTACGTATTTTTCATTTGCCATTTCATATTGCGGTCTTCGTATTTCGCATTTGCGGTCTTCCGTGTTTTTCATACAAGCCGCCCATGTAAATGGTAAAAAATCGTGAAAAATGAAAAAAAATAATTAATTTTTTTTCTTCAATTCTCAAATACTTCTCAACTTTCTGTATCACCTGGTGAAATCAGAATGAAAAAAATCGCGTTCCTTATCATGCAAATCAAGATCTTGATTTTTTTCACTTTTGGAGTGCTCTATACCGAGTCTCCGAGAGTTTCATACACAGCAATGAAACGACAACAACAATAACACATATTTTTACTGTCAAAATTTTGATGTCAAATGGTGTCGACATTGGTGACGGTATTTTGAAACAGACTGTGTAATCCATATTCATCGTATATGATCCTATGTAAAGTTCTATACTTGATCTAGTTCACATTGACGGTTCAAATCGGTTATGTCCAATAGCGTGGATATGGACTGTGTGTTTATTCTGTTACATGTACGTTGTAATGGACAAGTATAGTAACATGGCGTCGTTCAAATAAATTTAAAAATCCGTCCACTCGTGTCGACACCATCTAGCACGGTAGTAGGGATTTCATTGCTGTGGTTTCATATAAACTTCCTATGTAACACCTATTGAATAGTGGCCGAATGCCAATCGTGATTTGGGTGATAAGGAATGCGATTTTTTTCATTCTGATTTCACCAGATGGTACAGAAAATTGAATAGTATTTGTAAATCGAAGAAAAAAATTTTAATTATTTTTTTTCATTTTTCACGATTTTTTACCATCTACATGGGAAGGCTTATATGAAACTCTCGGAGACTCGGTATAATGCACAAATGTGTTAAAATAAATGAGATACTAGCCAGAATTGAAAATAAAATTGATACTTGAACGAATTGAAAATAAAAGTGATACATACCACTTTTATTTTCAATATCTTTCAAGTATCAGATTTATTTTAAACGCGAGTTAGTATCTCATTTATTTTAATTCATCGTCTTGTATCAGTATTTTTTTAAAGAATGTTTGGAGCTCATGATTATTCTTACCCATTCAATTATGAGTGGTTGTTTCCGTGCTATTAATCGTCTTGATTTTCTCTCGATTGCAGACAAAACCATTGACCGTGCTAACAGCACTTTTAATATGGGTTCTGGCAATTGTGTGTGCAACGCCGGCCGCTATCATGTCGGAAGCCGTAACTGTTGTGCTTAATAACACAACCAATCAAACAATCATCACTTGTACACCATTCGGCCAAGAAGGACTTACATCCAAAACCTATGCTCAGTAAGTATTATTTGTGATCCACTGGCATTTACGTTATTAATTAATATCGAAATTCGTTCCGATACGAAAAAAGAAAAACAATTTCCGAAATATTGATTTTTCAAATAAATTAATGCATAAAAAAACCATCTCTTACATACAAAAAAGGGCTTTTACGAAATGATAAAAAACACACACAGACTTTTTCCGGTTCAAATTCAAAAATCGAAAATTATGTACAACTTTTACGTTATTATTCCAGCGATTCATAAAAATAAATCATTCCACCTACTCAGTCGTAAAGCATACACAAATTTATAACATCCATAAATAAAGTACATAAATAAAAGTTAACATGTATTTAAATTAAAAAGCTCGCGACAATTATGACGCGTGCGATGTTGGCGATATGAAAGCGAAAATAGTTTTAACGTGTCAGAAATTTATTCAGATGACAGCATTATTATTTATAATCTATCCATAATGAATGGTGATTCATTGTGCTGATGTTGGTAAACTAACTAAAGCAAACCAATTCCAATGTCAAAAGTTTTTCGTAAACTGTATACTTCAATTTAGATGAACTAACGTAAAATTTAATATAACTATTTATTTGTTGTTGTTTTTTTCTGTCGACAATGAAAGTTACAGTGTTTTATTCAAGTACTTAAATTGAATAATTCATTCGAAGGTGAGAGATGAATTAAACGACAAAGAAAAAATTTTACATGGAAAGAGTGGGAGTTTGAGAAAAGTGAAAATTGAACGTAAAAAAGTAATACATTCAATTAAGTACCGGGTAATTTACAATAAATATCGTGGTTCGTTGAACGAAACATTTCATTTTCATTTGAATCAGGTACTTTTCCTTTCATTTCATTTGAACAATGTGTACGACAAAAGTAGTTTATTTTCGTCGATTTTATAGATGATTGTCTTTTTATGTCTGTGCAAATCAACTCACTTTCTCTTGGATAACATTGTGCTATATGGATTTAATCAAAGTGGGCTGAATTTTGAAATAATATGCACACGATTTATACAAGCACATTCGATTTTGGAACGGATGGGATTCCTATTAAAATAACTCGGTTGTAAGAGACGTTCTTTTTTCTATTATCTTTTTTGTATTGAGTTTTCCTAGAGATATATGCATTTATGTAAAAAAAGAACTGTGCTATGTCGAGAAAAAAGGCCTTGTCGTCGTTTTGATACTAAAAACATAGTGAAAAACGGGTCTTGCATCAAATACAGCTGATAAGCGACACGGTCGTATCACGATGGTAGTATATATAAAATGATTTTTGTAGCAATTTTGATATTCATGTGAATATAATTTCATAAAAGCTCAACAATGGCATTTTTTTAGATAGCAAAATCACTTGAACCACATTTGGGACAATTGATGGCTAAAAATTCACTGGATCCTATAGGATGTACTGAATGCTCAATTTAATACGAATTATCGGCAGGTTTTTTTAATGCATAATGTGTACAAGATGAACTTTTATCGCAGAACAAAAAAAAATTAAACATCCGATGGAGGCAATCTCAATAAAAATTGATGGTTTCCTCTGGAACCGACAGCGATTTCACTGTGAAATTTCTTACTACTACTTGATGCACACATATTTCTCATTTTCTTTCTGTGTATTTTTTTTTTTTTTTTTTGCTTTATTCTGAAAACAATGAAATTAACATATAAAATGCAGACAAGCACATCTTGAACACATCGTTGAACATGAAACCACACACAGTGCAAGAATGTTTTCGTTTTTGCAGAGAATTCACAAAACTTGGAAGAAGAAGAAAAAATGACAGAACACAAAAGAGTGAAGGAGAGAAAGCGAAAAAGAGATACGAATCAACGGCATTATATTCACCTGGGAATTTTAATATACATGAAAAAAAAAGAAAAGAAAGAATGAACCGAAAAAAGGTGATTTTCTGTGGGGAAAAGCACAGTCGATACACATCATGCAGAAAATCTCTAAAGTGGTTATCGTCAGCATTTGATCATTTAACCAATGATAGTGTAATGGACTAATCCCAAGTGAATTCAGTTTAAATCTTCATTGGTAATGCGACCGGGCGCTTCTGTTCTCTTCTTTTCATTTCATGGCATGAATCACATTATTATAATCGAATATTTCGTTTTATTGAATCGGCGATTTTTCTTCATAAATAATAGAAAGGCGAGATAAGAAGGAGATCTTTTCGCCAAAGATCATGTATAATGCACAATAAAATGATGACTGGTAATCAGCAAATTGTATTCTACGTATCCGAATGAGATGATTCTTTACCAATACATTATTTTCTTTAACAAAAATATTATTTCCATCCATTCGATAAATGAAAACATAAGAGACTTGATTTTTATTTAATACAGACCTTCCATTTTATTATATCAGTAGTGTACACTGTGTACAGGGAGGTGTTTACCCACTCTTCAGGTTCAGAATTTTTTTTTCGATTTGGTAGGGTTTTTGAGTAAAATTCATGTTCCCCCGTAATCAATCCGAGTGGGGGTTATTAGAACGAAATTTTGGAAAGAAACTTTCGATTTTTTAGAGTTTTTGGCGAAAAAAGTGTGAACCTTTTTTTGGTCGAATTTTGAAAATTCTCCCCTCCCACTCTAGAAATCAAACCTCGCACACTTCTGATATTTAGATATAAAAATCTTCCTTTTCTTACACATTTCCAATTTTACCTCGAAAGGAAAATTTTCACATTAAAAATTCAGTGTCACTGATATTTGCGTCAAATGGATGTTCCAAACTGAAAAATAATAGGAGCCTCTTTTCTGCAGTCAGAAGATTTACATCTTTTAATTGAATGTAAATTGTTGGTTTATCCAAATCCACATTTTGAGAATATTTCATGGGTATACCTCGTTCCCTTTGACGGTTTGCGAGGCATTAAAGTTATCATTTGAAAATTTATGGATCGAGATAAGTGCATTTTTTGAATAAGAAATGTTGAGTTAACCTCTTCTCTTGTATATTTAATTATTGTCGAATGCGCATAGGGGGAATGTATTCTGGTATCTTCCATCTTTCGTTTGATTTTTTGAATCTATGTACGTTAAAGTATTTTTCATGAGTGGTGCGTGTTCATATATAGGCTTCCCTTCATTATATTTGTTTTGTTTTTCGCATTACTTAAACCATAATAAAGCATAACTTTCCTATGGAAAACCAACAAATAAAACCATTAAAATCATATGAAATGTGATTTGTGTCAAAGTTGTGCGCATCGAGTTGAACAAAGTAAATATTCTGTTCGAAACTCTATTTGCGGTAGATATACTTCAGTGATTTGCTTTCAAAAGTGAATTTCCTAATGGTGTTCATTGTGTTTGTTATAATGCAATATGTGTGACACATTTTCAGCCATACAAATTAGCATAAATTTAATTTCTTGGTGGCAAAAATCGATGTCGAATATCTCTTTGTTCTATATAATTCATATTCATACAGAAGTGATTGTATTTTTCGTTTCTTATAATGTTTTATGCACCGTATGTATTCCATATGCCGTAATGCTATAACACTCTAAATCTAAAAAACCGGCATGAATGCTAAAATTGGCAATTTTTTTTCTCTTTTGCTTGTGTGAATCTCTGTGTTCCTGTTTCTCTCTCTCTCTCTCTCTCTCTCTCCATATTCGAGTAAACTACACAAGTTGCTTCAAATATGCCAACGCTATCATATTCTTTATATTTGATTGAGCACAAGCATGAACACATCACCAATTCATCACAATCGAAAAGCATATTGAAATCGAAACTTCATTTTTCCACTTACTTACTCCATCAACTTTTTGTATTTGCAATTCGGTTCGTTCGCAGTAATCCATCATATATGTTTGCATCGGTGTAAACAACTTGGTTATATTGTTGCTGTGCACGTTATATTTTGTGCTGTTTTAATTTGTTTCAAATAATTTTTTTTCTCTATCTAATCTATTCAATGTACATGGTTCGTCTAACATTTCGTTATTATTGTCATAGTGTTCAGTGATTCACTTTGCCCACATCTTGATTTGTTAAACAATGATTTCGACATAACTGCTCCTATTCATGTGTGGTTACACAAAAATAGCATCTACTTTTCTAAAGTAGGACTTACATATGCATAAGCTTCCTTATGTAAAATGAATGGATTAATGAAAAAAAAAGTTGGTACATTATTGCAACGAAAAGGAAAAGTATTCTACCAAAAAAAAAACGGATTCCAATTCAATCAAATGCTGAAAAAATGAAAAATATCTGCTCTTATTGTATTGCAGGTTGACAATGGGATGATACGTGGTTTATTTACACATTCCACAGCATATCAAATTCTCATGATTTTGTCACTATTTCAATTCGCTTCCCACACAATATTACGCTCAGACAGTATATGACACATATGATATGAAATTTTTTTTAAAGAAAAACATTCGTTTGATCTACATTGCATCTATCTAGAAGCTTAAGGCACATTTTTCTTATTAGTTGGACACTATTTTTAGTCATTAACTTGACAGCGATGAAACACAATAAAAAAAAACTTTACGAAAATCATTTGAATTTGCATTGATTCATCTGAAGAAGCTCAGTCATGTACAATAATTTACATTATCGCAGTGCAAAGGTATTTTCACAAAGCCACTCTTCTCAACCATAATTGAATTGCAATTTCATGTATTTTAGTTTGGTTTATGCTTCAGTTTGTTAAGAAAAACCGAATTACATAATGAAATATTCATTTCACCGAGAAACCATTGAGATCCAATTGAAAATTATTTCATCAGAAATTGTTTCTTTACATCGGAAAATCGCAATCGGCAAATAGTTTTCCAAGTAAATCTTTGCAAATTGCAACAGTTTAACATAAAACTTAAAATTTGTCGACTAATTTAAACTATTTTGTGGTTTTCTTGAAATGAACTAAAGCAAGTGTTATAATATTTACAAAACTCGAATCGGTCAAATTCAATTAAACGTTTTAACATTTAAAATAAGCGAAACGAAATGTTATCAATGTCGACGAGAAAAATAATTGCCAATTTCAGGCAATTGTGAAAATTGATATTGACATTTTGGATGCGATTGGTTTATTTCATTCAATTTGAAATTCGGTCTCTCGTTTTAAATGCGACAATCAAACAAAGTGCTTTTATTTTTTTGAATGCCGGACATAATGTTCAAGTCATTCGAATACAATTCCACCGCATAATTGATTTTATTTCTGGTATTTTGTAGTCATCACTTTTTTTTCGTTTTGAATCTGCAATTACTTTTGCTGTGATACATATTTTTAAATAAATGATAGCAAAAATGGTAGAAAATATGTTTTGTATTCAAATTTAATTGTTGATATTTCTGTATAAAAAAGCTACGTTTTTTGTTAAAGAAACACCAAACATATCTCATCAGATTGAAGTCCATTGATATACATATCTCATCACAATTAGTTTTAACCTACATTCAGAGCGAATCACCAAAAAATCTCAAGTCACGCTTTTCTTTTTCCAACGAAATCAAATCAAACTTTTTAATCAAAAAGTCGACAATTTTAAGAAATAATTATAACTAAAACTAACTTTTATATTCGAAGAAAAAAAAGTGTCTTGCCTCGTTGAAAATGGTGTTGAGTTTCACATTTGGATGACTATATCCAATTTTGATGGTTTTCCAGCATTCTCATGAATTTTATTGTACAAGTTTATAGTTAACTATAAAATATATGCATTCATACTTGAACTGCTGTATTTTATTTGAAAAGTTTTACTTTCTCGAGAATGTTCGTATATGTACTCAATAACAATCAAATGAAATGCAAACCATTTTATTTCATTTCAGGTATAATGTGGTTGCAAAGTCAATTGCATACTATTTTCTACCCTTGTCGATTATCGGAATACTTTACGCATTGATGGCACGACGATTGCATTTGAGCACACGTGAGGTGCCTGGTGACGGCCCTTGCGTGGCTGGACCACAAAGAGCCCAAGCTCGCGCTAGACGCCATGTTGCACGTATGGTTGTAACATTTGTAATTGGTAAGTTTTAGTTTTAATTTGATGCGTCCACGCCGATGTTTGGAACGAATGTGGATTTATTGGCGCATTTGCTTTGTGAATAACTGACATGAGTCTCGTACATACAATACTACCAATAAATGTGCGTACTAACTTCGAATTCATAACAATTTAAATAAAACTTGATTTTTGTTTTGTGAAATATGAAACCGAAAATGGGATACATTTTCAAAGGTTCACTACAACAAGAAAATTAATAGTTTGATGCACACTTTTATTGCATAGTGGGGAAATATGAAATAATTTCACACATATAACTAAATTACCCATAAAAACTTTCTCCAATCGGTTGTACGCGAAGCAAAGCAATTTTTTCTCATTTCATATGACGTTTCTTGTTACTGTTCCTTTCAATATGAGGCCAATTTGGATAAAAAGAACCTTTTCATCCACAATAGAGTTTCACTAGATAAATATATTTACACAAACTATTGTTATGTTCTATTTTCAGTGTTTATCATCTGTTTCCTTCCGTACCATGTGTATATGCTATGGTTTCACTTGAATCCAAATAGTGAACAAGATTACGACACTTTTTGGCACATAACAAAAATTGCCGGATTTTCCTTGAGGTTTGTATAAAAGAATGTATTTTTATGGATATCGAACATTCAATGAAAGAAAACAACGAAAATATGTGGCAACGGTAACAAGCAAGTTTCAACTATAACAATACATTTGGAATTTCAAAAAACGTTCCTTTATAAATTCTATTTCCATCATTTGGCATTGATGTAAAAGTCATAGTTTTTTATATCTCTTTATTGCGTTATGATTCATTTGATTCATGCTTACGACATTCAAGTAAAATCAATAATGTATTTATAATTCTTGGTATTTTTTTAAAATTTAATTCCACAACAAAAATGATGAATTCATTTTTTTCACAATCTCTCTCAATTCAATGTACATGAATAAATACTTCCAATAATATTGAGAATGCCATTATGCAAGATTCTGGTGGCTGTTTGCATTAAAAAAAACCCAGAGAAGCCTATTTTTATTTCACGGAAGTGGAAAAAAAAATTCCATTACGCCGATTAATTTAATTACGATTTCAGTACATTTTTTTTTTACTTTTATACAATTCGCTGTACCTTCAAAGAAAGTTTTTTTCTCTCGAAATAATTAAATTGTATGAAAAATACATGGGGAATATTTCAGAAATGGCATTTATGGATGCATTAAAGTTGAACAGAAAAAACTTGCAAAAAGTCTCCACTTGGCATAAAAATGTTTAATTTAGTTGATAATTGGGAGAATGGGTCGTTTGTCATTTTGATGAGCATCTTCGATGATGTGATTCAAATTTCTATATATTTTTGCAACGACTGATGAATGGCTTCATTTATTTATAGGAAGTAATATGATTAAAATAATAAAAAAAAACCAGCAGAAAATGTTGCTCTGCATATTTCTGACAAATAATTATCATGCAATTAATATATTCATTGGTCGCTTCCGGCTATTATCATGGATAATTTCTATTGACATTAGACATGTCAGTAAATGTATTCGCGCTTTTATTATCTTCCAAATCATTGTGATAAATTGATATTGGGAATTTTAATTATATTTGCTGTACATTGTACAATTGTCATATTACGTTTTAAGAGAGAGAGAGAGAGAGAGAGAGAGCTTTAAGCTCGAAACAAACAATGAAAAAATTCTTCTACCAAAAAACAAGCGGAAGTAAATGGGTATTAGATGAGGACTTCAAACATCAAAGTTCAGTCAATAACGCCATCGACACATTTCATTAGAGAGAGTGAGAGTGAGAAATAGATAGAAAATTGTAATCCTTGTGTCTGTTGTGTTCCTTTTCTTTAATCATTCGTGTCTTTAATTATTATTATCATGGTCTATTGTTCTTTTTTTCTTTCATTTTTTTCCCTTCTCTGCATCTCGTTTGTCTTACCAATCACAATGGCCTGATAATGACAATGTTGTTGTGTTGTGCGCGCACTACTGTGGCAATGTGGTGTCCGGGCGGTTAAAAAATGCTGTAAACGTTGATCATATTACATCCTGTTTGTGATGGCACCTGAAAAATTGGCATTCAACACAAAAAAATGGCAGTTTTCTGAATTCATGCATTAATCCTGTGGCTTTATACTGTGTATCCGGTGTGTTTCGTCAGCATTTTCATCGGTATCTGTGTTGCAAGCAAATCCAGCAGACGCATCATCGTCTTGGTATGTCAATGGCAACAAACGCTTGTGATACAAGTTTCATGTCAACCATTCGGCGTACACAACACGGTAACCATCATACAATCGTGCATAATGGCACATCGCCAACACAAAGTATGATAATGAATGAAAAGAGGTGAGGCACAATCATGTCTCAAGATACATTCTTCTAGGTGCTTGCGTTAAATTGCTGAGCTGAATGTTGATGAATCGACGGCGACGACGACAACAACACGACGAAGACGATGAACAACAACAACGACAAGATCAACGACGACGACGTTTACAACAAATCCGATGACGAGTACAAATATCAAGTAATGATGTGGTTAGGTGTGATGATAATGATGACCAGAGAAATGTGACCAATACGAGAACCAACCAATTTTCCGAATCAGGATGTTAAGTACATATATATACATTTATTTTATATTTATGTTGCTATATTTTAATTGACATTTCAAAACGTATTTCTGCACTTTACTGTCCACACACCACCCCCCCTCTCCTCCAAAAAAAAATAGAACCTAAACCATAGCACATAATTAATGACGATGGTTTCATTAATTATGATTTTGAACAACATTTCAATGTCTCTTTATCCCATCGGTTTTTCGGTGCGAATAAAAAAACATTGAGAAACATAATAACACACATCATTTGTCTTAAATGGACACACTCAATTTATATTGTTTTTCAACTAGAATCATCATTGCACATCACATAAATGCCAAAGCTGTTCGGCTCTCATTACTTAAATAACCTTTAACGTTTCATCGCATCAACAAATTAGAAATACTCGCAAAAATTATCAAAATAAAAAAGAAGAAGAGGAAATAATACAATATTATATGTTATCGTTATGAGGAATATACAAAAATATATGTGCTGAGAATGAACGTGGCCTAATCAATGTCACTTGAAGTTCTTGCTTACAGAAGTCACCCATAAGCGAAAGAGTAGAAGGTGAGATTCATTAAATCATTTCCATATGTATGTATAAATGAATATGAGACGCGTTTATTTAAATTGTTGAATTTGCGAATGCTTGAACACTTTTCGAATGAACGTTGTACTGTTTCAGTATTAAAAATTTGCAAATACAGCCCCCTTATTTTGAATCTATTGAATAACAACATATTTGAACATTTTTATATGATTAAGTAGTTCAGTTATCGACAGCAGTTTATCTAGCTATCTGAATATCCGATGGTAATCGGCAGCAGAGCGTTGTATATACCACAATGAGCAGCGGCTGCGATTGAGAATATTCGAATAACTGAGAAATTTCCAAAAAAATTGTCTCACATTCATTCTCTAAAGATTATTGATACTTTCAAATTCCCGCGCGGTAAAACATTTCAAAAAATAATTTTATCGATTTTATTAGGTTTTACAGGACAAACATATGAATATACAAATGAAAATTAGCATTTTTTGCACAAAAACATATTTTTTTATTACATACTGCATTATCTGAAAACAAAGCATGACGATAAGACAAAATTGCTTGCCAGCGCCACCAAATGACTCCATATGATTCTATACAGGGTGTCTCACGAACTAGGATTACCCCCCAAATTTTAAAATTTCAAAAAACGCTTTGGGGGGTATGTTGGGGATAAAAAATAGAAAA